TACGTAAAATAAAGAAATTTCATTTCTTTTTTGACACAAATTCAATTTGGAATGATGTCATTGTTGTCGATGTCGATGTTGTTCCAATTTTATTACTTACTTGATGTTTTTGTTTTTGTTTTTTTTTGTTTCGTTGCTGCTTGGAACAACGAAAAAAACAAAAATTGAATTTTTAGTTTTTTTTCTTCGATTGCATAACCTGAATTCAATGATGTTCACCTTTGACCTTTTCCTGATCGAAATAAAAAAATTGTTCATTCAGGTTTTTTTTCGCTTCTCGCTTATTCTAGCCTAAAGGTATCGAGAATTTCAGCCAGAAAAAAAAAGAATTTTCTTTTTTTACTGAAGAAAATTTTCAAAATTTCAAATTTCAAAAATTCAACATGCTGGATATAATTATAGATTATTTGATTTTTGTTTTGATTCAAAACAAGATAATATTTTGCTGTTTTTCGTTTTTACATTTTGCATCCATAAATGGATGGCTGTTGTGTTTTGTCAAAAACCCTGTAGCTATTCCAGTGTAAATTCTGTTTGTTTTCGTTTTCGTTTTCGTTTTCATTCGTTTTCAAATCATCCTTATTTGGTTAATTTAATTTTGAAAAACAAAAAAAAATTTGTGAACAAAAATTTTTACTGAACGAAACAAACTTGAAATTTTTGTTGTTGTTGTTGTTGGGTATTATCATCAAACAACAACAACAATATTCACATGTGAACATTTCTTTAGTTTTTCGCTTTGTTTTGTTTTGTTTTACACCTCTCTGTCTCTGTCTCTAATTATGTAATTTTGAAATTTATCTTCCTTCATTTTGTTGTTGTTGTTGTTTTTGGGATTCCCATTCACAAATTTTGTATTATTAGTTTTATTATAGTCAATTTTCTGTATGTCTAATGATGATGATAATTAGCATCCTAATTATAATAATGTTTTTGAAAGTTTTTGTTTGTTTTGTTTTGCTTGTTACCATCATATTCCCATCATCATTAGTTTAGTTTAGTTTAGTTTGATTGACAATGTGAACAAAAACAGTCAGAAAAACGAAACAGAAACAGAACAAACGAAACAGACATAAATTTTTAAAGTGTAAAGGTCATTGCATCTTTGGTCCCAAAAAAAACAGACAAAATTCCGTTTCATTAACTTTTTACACAAACATGAATCATTCAACATCAATCAATCAATGATAATGAGGATTTCCTGTGTTTCTCTCGATTTGTGTGTGAGTGTGGGTGCCTAGATGAATGAATGAAATCAGCCACTTAAATCAATTTTACACTTTTTGTTTTCCCTGAATACTTTTATTGATTTTTTCTTTTCTTTTTCAAATCGATTTTTGTTTGTTTTTACAGGACGACAATGCAAATGAAAATATGGAATCAATGAAATGAATGATTTGTCATTGACATTACCATCATTACCATCATCATCATCATCATCGTTATTAAGATATTCATGCAATATCCCATCATCATCATCATCATCATTATGATGAATGGATTGACCATTCATTCTTAACATTGAAAAAACAAAACAAAACAAAATGAAATGATTATCATTATCTCCACGCCTACAACAACAACAACAACAGGAACAGCAGAATCCTTTTTCTGAACGTGAATCAAATTTCAATTTTTTCTGGATAAAAAACAAAAAATTTCACTGTGGTTATTACCTTGAAAAACATTTTTTTTTCTCCAACCTATATTGTCATCTACATACATCATCATCCACAGCATCATAATCATCATTAAAATTCATTCAAGTTTTTTTTTTTGAAACAAAGTCTACAAGTAAATTTGCAACTTTGAAAAAAAAGAAAGAAAATTTTCCTTGAAAACTCTCTACAAACGCACACACACACACACAGGAAATGTAATATTAATAGCAATTTGAGAAACAAAACAACAGCAGAAAAAACAATGAAAATCTAGTCGTTGGTTGGTTGGCTGAAAGCACAAAACGAAACGAATGAGAAAAATCCAGCCAAAATGATTTAATTTGAATCAAAAATCAAAAATCCAAAACGATAAATTAATGATGCTAACCGAAGATAAATTGACAATAACAACAACATATGGATGACTCATCTTATCAGGCGTTAGACATTGAAATCGTTTTTTTTTTCCTACTGAAACTACAACAAAAGTTGTTATGCAAGTTTTATTTTGAATACCTACAGCTTTGAATATATCAATATCATCACCAGAGAGATAGATATAGAGAGTTGGGGAGAGAGAGAGGCTTTGATTTTGTTTGTTTGTCAAACCAGAAAATCACAAACAAAATTGAAATGAATCATCGAATGAATGAATGGATTCAGAGAATGAATTTTGATTGCACTCGATCATCAATCGATCGATCGATTGATCGATTAAGCAATTGATTAATGGTGTGTGTGGTTTGTGGAAACATCATCAATATCTTCAGCAAAGATGAATGAAAATTTATTCAAAAAAGTTTTTTGCTAGTGGTTTTTCTTCTTTCTTCGTCTTTATTCATCTTCTTCTTTGAAATTTTGTATCGGGATGGTCATGCATGATGTTTAACAACATTTTTTTTCTCCCAGTATCTATGTATCATCCATCCATAAAGATAAATGATATCTGTCTACCTGTCTGCTGTTTTCGTTTGTTTTCGTTTGTTTGTTTGTTCAACTTTAACTTGAAATTTTTAAACTAAACTAAAAACTTTGAAGCAAAAAACATTGATCATTTTTGATGATAATGATGTATGTTAGTGGTGTGGTGTGGTGTGATTCAGTTTGTTGTTGTGATTCAAATTGATGAAACAAACAAACAAACAAATAACATGTTTGACAACAATTTTCATTATCAACGTTTTCTTTTTAGTTTCTTCAGAATGGATTCCATAAGAATTTCTTCAAATTTCATTTCATCATTCATCATTTTGATGATGTAAAATGAATTTTTCATCATCATCATCATCTTATTTGTGTGCCAAATTGATCCAGGATCTTATTATTATTGTTATTATGAATATTCAACAACAACAACAACAACAACAAACATGACAACGGCAACAACAACAACAACAAATGGATCATTGATCCATGGTAATGGTAATAATGATAATCGAATATCGATAAATGATCAATATTATCATCATAATCATCATAATAATCATCGAAATAGTAATAGTAATAGTCAATCGAAATCGATTTTAAATCGATATGAAAATGGCCATATATTTCAAAATAATTCAAATATTCAAATATTACGATCTCAACAACAACAACAACAACAATCATCATTATCTAATAATAATAATGATAATAGAAATAATCGATTAAATTCGATACCGATAAAAAAATCGATTGTATCGATACGTTCAATAAATGATATGATTAATAATAACCATAATCATAACCATAACAACAACAACAACAACAATGGTACGATAAAATTATTGAATCAAAATTATCCTGATCATCATCATCGAAATATTCGTTCATCAAGTCAAAATATTGAAAAAATTACTAATAATAATAATAATAATAATAATAATAGTAGAAAATTTGGCAATAGTTTTTCAAATTGGTTTAATCAATCATTTACTACTAATCGATCCAAATCATCAAATAATATTGTTAATAATTTAATTACAAATAATCAAGATGATTATAATTATTGTAATTATTGTTGTGATAATTTATTGATTGATAAATGTGATGATGATGATGATCAAAATCATTATCATTCTATTGATAATGTCGTTGATGATAGTGATTTAAGAATAAAAAACAGTAAAACATTGAAAAAACCAAGACCAAAATCAATGATGATAATGTCAACGACATCGACAGAATTATTCACTAATGATAATGATAATAAACTAATGGAAGAAAAAAGAAGAAGAAAAATATTTGAAGAAACTGATCTTGATGAAATGATTCAAATGGATGATAATGATAATGTTGATGATAACGATGATGATCATCATCATTTAACAATAAATTTGGTTAGACAAAAATTATCAACATTATTTCGAAGATCAAAACCATTACCACCACCACAGCCACCACCGATTAAATGTGATAAATGTGATCATACAAAATTAATAGTTCCTAAAAAATTGACAAAAAATTCAATAAAACGTTCAAAAACATTTTCAGTTTATTCAAAAATTTTTCATCCTAATAATCATCATAAGGTGGATCATCATTTGGATGATGATTCTACAATCGATTCAAATCATCATCAACAACAGCCATCAACAACAACAACAAATCAACCATCAGGTACACCATCAGCTAATTATCAACATTCATTATTATCATCAACAACGATATTTTCTAATCACAATCATAATCATCATTCAAATCATAAACGATCTAGTCTTGGTGATCGTAATCATCATCATCATATAAATCTCATTCCAAATTCTAATCATAATCATCAGCAACATCAAGAATCATTAAAATTCAATAATTATCATCGGTCAACCAATGATAAATCATCATCATCATCGAATGATAAAATGATGATGACGAGGTTAAACTCAAGAATTCCATTACAACGACAACAATCAAATCCGGTTCAATCAACAACAACAACAACAACAACAACCGGCAGTATTAACAACAACAACAACAACAACAACAACAATGATAAAAATTTAAATAATCAAATAAGGCCATCAGCATCTATATCATTTTCATCATTATTTGTATCACGATTAAAAAAACAATCATCACAATCGATTCAAAATGTTGTTGTTGTTGAATCATCAACAACAACAACAACAACACCAACAACAACAATATCATTGTCATCTTCATCAACAACAACAACAACAACAACAACAAATAGTGATAATCAAAAACGATCAAAATATGAATCAATAAAGAATGATAATGATGATGATGATGAAAATTCTATTATTCATTGTCAATCACCATTGAATCAAAATGATAATGATAATGGTGTTGATGATGGTCATCAAGATAAAGATATTCAGATTGAAAATGATAACAATGTCGATAAAGTCGATAATGATGATAATATCAATATTCCATCAACATTTCATAGTTCATTAACACGTGCTGTTATGAGAAAACGACGACCACAACAACAACAACAACAACAACCAAGACAAAGACATTCAATGAATTTAAGAAATTCATTTATAATTCATAGAAAAAATAATAATGATGATAATAACAACAACAACAACAACAGGAAAAGAATAACAACAACAACAACCGATAATAATAATAATATTCGTCAACGACAACAACAACAAAAATCAATATCGGTTGTTGATTTAATATCAAAACGTTTATCATTACCAGCTGATTTACATTTACCAGCATCATTTTTAGCTAAAATTGAACGTGAATTAGATAGAAAATCAGATGAAAATAAATTATTGAAAACAAATTCCTATGATGATAATGCGGATGATACGAATGATAATAATTTTCTAGCTAAATTACTTAATACAGATCCAAATAAAACAATTAGTCGTAAAGTTCGTCGTGAATCATTGGTAAGTTTTTTGGTTGGCGGTATTTATGGAAAGTTTTTGTTTCTAAAAAAAATTTCTTTTTTTCATGTTCAGAATGGAATCGGATTCGGACGGTTAGAAACATATACAAAATTAGAAAAACTTGGTGAAGGAACATATGCAACTGTTTATAAAGGACGTAGTCATTTAACAAATCGTTTAGTTGCATTAAAAGATATCAGATTTCAGCAGCAAGAAGGTACACCTTGTACTGCAATTCGTGAAGGTAATGTTTTTAAAATTTAAAATTTTAAAAAAGTAACTGATAATTTCTTCATCATTTTTGTCATATATTTAGTTTCATTATTACGTACATTAAAACATAATAATATTGTTACATTACATGATATTATTTATTCGGATAAAATGCTTATACTTGTATTTGAATATATGCCACGTGATCTAAATCGTTATATAACTGAATGTCGTGATTTAATAAATTTATATAATGTAAAATTATTTATGTTTCAAATGTTACGTGGTTTAGATTATTGTCATCAAAGACGTATATTACATCGTGATATTAAACCACAGAATTTATTAATATCTGATCGTGGTGAATTAAAATTAGCTGATTTTGGTTTGGCACGTTCAAAATCAGGTAAATTTCCTTTTAACCAAATAAAAGTATTGATTTTGATTGATTGATTTTTTCTTTTGTCCAGTACCATCAAATACATTATCAAGCGAAGTAGTAACATTATGGTATCGACCACCAGATGTATTGAATGGTTCAACAAATTATACAACATCGATTGATATTTGGGGTGCTGGTTGTATATTTTTTGAATTATTAAGTGGTGAACCATTATTTCATGGAATGTTTGAACAAGAACAATTAAATCTAATTAATCAAGTTTTCGGTAATGAACCACAAACATTATCAACATTACCATGGGGTATTAGTAGACGTACAAAACGTTTAAATCAATCAGCTGCTGATCTTATGTTTAATCTTTTGATGGTATGTTTGGTTTTTTTCATTGTTTTATTCAAATTTCTCAAACTTTTTCTCTCTTTAACACTTTCACACACACACCAAAAAATAGTATGATCCACAAAAACGTATGGAAGCAAATCGTGCAATGATGCATCATTATTTTTCAACATTAGATCCATTAATATATAAATTACCTGATCATTTATCAATATTTACTATTCCGACAATCGTTTTCTATCCGGATCCCGGTATAAATAGTAATGGTTGTAATGGTTCTTCGATAAATATTGATGATAATGAGACAACAATGTCCATTTTGAATCAATCAAAATCTGATTCAACATTATCATCATCAGCAACAGGATCAGTATTATCATCCACAACAATATTACCACCACATCATCCACAGCATCATTTTCAACAACAACAACAAAAACCAATTGAAAAACAAATTGTTCGTGCTACAATATTACCGGCTAATGAATTAATAACCGAAACAAAAACAATAAAATTATTATCTACAACAAAACAAATATTATCGGATAATAATGATAATAACAACAACAACAACAACAAAACCAATATTATTGAAGGAATTGATGATTCTTTGGATGATAAATTGAAATTTGAAAAAATTTCTGTAACAGCAAATCAACCAGATCCAATATCAACATCAACATCGACATCAAAATCATCATCAACATCATCATCATCATCATCATCGACAACATCATCATCAATGACAATTGTATCGAATGTTGATTGTAAACAATTACAATCTAAATCAACAAATTCATTATTGGTAAATAATTTGGGAAATTTGCCCGAAATTTCATTAATCAATTCAAATAATATGAATAACCGAAATAAAAATATTCAGCAAGATCGTCGTAATCGATATAGAAATCAATCAAAAAATCAACAATCATCATCGACATCGTCATCAATACAACAACAACAACAACAATTATCACGTTCATTTTCATTATCAACAATAACAAATCAATTATTACGTAATTTTCGTTTAAATCGTAATCATAATTCTATTGATAATATTATAAATAATGATAATTATGACGATATGGAATCAAAGATCATCAAGGATCGATTAATTGATCAAAAGCAATCATCAAGCAATCAACAACAACAACAGCAACGAAGAATTAAATCCAGTTCAAATCTAGTTGGCTCAATTTTGAATGAGGAACGGTCAAATACAAATAATTATCGACAACAACAACAACAAACGATAATGAAATTGGATCCGAAATCAACAGCAGCAGCATCTGCATTATTAAGAAAATCACAATCACGTTTATCCTGTACATATCTTTCATCACTTTGAATGTTTTTTTCTTTTCTTTTTTTATTTCTGGTGGAACCAACTTTTTTTTGTTCAACAATTTTGCTCAAAATCTTTTTAATGGAATAATAAAAAATTTTATTTATTTAAAAACTTCTTCAATAAATTTTTTTTGAAAATTCCCGGCAAAAACTTTCCGAAAAACTTTTCCCAAAAAAATAGAAGCACCGTGTTATTAATGGACACCACTGCCACTACCACTGTTTGTGTGTATGTGCTGCTTTCCAGAAAAATGTTCGAGAAAAACAGCCTCGAACATACCACTACTACCACTTGTTTTGTTTTTTTTCACTGCCAACTCTTCCATCTGATGGCCGGTTATTGGAACCAATTTCGAAAATTCGATGAGCAACATTATTTGTAAATTCGAAATCCCTTGAAAAAAATCATTTTTTGGACATCGTTCTCAAATTATCATTATCATTATCGATCGATCACAATGTTTAATTTAATGCGTTCAGCTTGGAAAATTTTGGATGAGGTAAGTTTGATTTTGATTTGATTCGATTGATTTCGATTTGATTGATAATTTGAATGGTGATTTTCGAAATTAGTCATTGAATAAAAGAGAAAAAATCGATACTAATCGAATGGATCCAGCATGGAATCAACAATCACCATCACCATCATCATCACCATTGAATCCGGGATTTATTGAATCTGGTCCATCATCATCATCACCATCAATTGGTTTACCTGTTATTGATAATATGGAACAAACAAATATTCCATTTGATGATCAATTTACATTAGAATTATCATCAAGATCAGCATCATATGGTTTAGGTTTTATTGAACAACCATGTCCTGATTGTTATATGAGTGTACCATCATCATTTATGTATAATGTACCATTGATTCGTTCACCGGTTATTATTGCTGAACCACATTCCATTTCAATGGATGATCTTACATTGGAACAGATTAAAAAATCTGTTCAACCAATTCAACCGATTCAGCCAATTCAACCAAAACAACAACTGCAACAACAATCAATTCAATTGAATCCGGTAAAAATGATGAAACAAACAAAACCGGTTGATCCACGAACTTATGGACCATCAAAACGATTGAAAATGGAAACAAACAAAACTGGAAATTTGATTGAAAAATCTGTTTCAATGTTTGATTTGAAACAAAATAATCCGATTGAATTACAACAATCAACATCAACATTATCAATGAAAAATGTTGTTGATGAACAATTGTCATTATCAATTGTATCCAAACCTGTCGAAAAAATTGATTGGGAAAAAGAACTGGAATTGATTCGAAATAATCGTAAATATCGTATACGTAAAGATAAAATTGAAATGAATAAACCATTACATCCGGAAGCAGATATTTTTGGTGAAAATGAATATTCCGATGATTCTTATTCTGATTATGATTTTGATTTCTATTGATTTTTTGTTTTGTTTTGTTTTTTCTGTTGAACATTCACTGCCAAATTTTTGTATTCCGCTTTTGTGTTTAATGAAAACCAGAACAAAAAACTACTTTTCCAATTTCAAAAATAAAAGAATAAATAAAAGTTTTGTTCAAAACAAAAAATCCGTTCCAAAACCCGTTCCAAATTTACAATTTGAATAAAAAACACTACCACCCAATGAATTTCATCAACAAAGAGTTCCATCTTGCGGTCGGTTAAAGGAATTAATTTCGTAAAATTTTTCTCAAATTTCAACACTATTATGTTTATTTATTGCTTATTGGATTTTCATCCACCAAAAAATTTTCCTGATTCAATTAATCAATTGATTCAGGTTGATTTTGATCATTATCTATCGATGCTAAATGAATCAATCACAATGTAAAGCACTCAAAATGAAGTGACGACAATTTCAGTTGTTACTTTTTGTACATACCTGAACCGATTAGGTGTATTTGGCCAAAAAAAAAAACTGTAGCCAATGCTTGTGTTCTTCATACGATACACACATGTTCAAACTTGCAAGCACATAAACGTGCGGAAGCAATTTCGAAATAGTTGAAGAAACAACAAAAATGGATCAAAAATCCGAATTAATTGTTCAAATTCCCGATGATTCTGTATTCAAAAAACCACAACCAGTGGCGAAATGGTCAAAACATCCATTTGTATTTTCCAAATCACCAAATGATCGTGAATCATCATCATCACCAAGTTCAATTGATGATGATGATCATGATGATCATCATCAAGAAATTGTATTCAAACCAAGAAGAATTTTACCAATAAATTATTATCGTAATTATATATCGGCACAAGCATTTGTACATTATGATTCGGATATATTTTTCTTAATCTATTGGGATCATATACCAATATTAACACAGATAAAAATGTTACGTAAAATTGTTGAAAAAATATTAAATATTGAAATTGTTGGTTCATTTGATCAACAAAGTCGATTAACAGATGATCATACATTACTTGGTTATGAATCAAATAAACAATCAAATAGTTCAATTGGTTTTATTATAAGTGAAAAATATTATTTAGATTTTCAACCAATCAATGGTAATCGTAAATTTATTATTAATCGACCACCATTTATTACTGTACAGAATTCAATTCTTGAACCATCAACAATATTGACATCGAAAAAATTACAAGGTACTACTGTTCAATATTCGGATGATGATGATGATGATGAATCATTAGATGATTATTATTATGATGATGATGATGATGAAGATGAAGAATATGATGAATCAATCAAACGCTCAAAAGATCAAGATTCACATAAGTTTAAAAATTTTTTAGATGATAATGGTAACGATGACGATAGCGATGATGACGACGGCGACAATGACGATAATGGTGATGACAGCGACAGCGACTGCGACGACGATGATAATGAAACAAAACAAATCAAAGAATCCAGTAATCCAGTAAAATTCCAATCATCATCATATGGTAATGGTAAAATGATAAAATTGAATAATGATGATCCGAAAATTAAATTGCCCACAAACATCCGATTAACCGATATAGCTGATGAAAATGATGAAAATAATTTGAATCAAACAAAACAAAAATCTAATGGATTAAAATTTAAAATACGTCGTATTTATCAGATTGATCTGACAAACCCCGGATCATTTTCATATGGTAAATATGAAATAATCAATTTGACCGATGAAAACGTAAATGATTCGAATGGAAACCTTGAACAAGAAATAATTCAAATTGAAGAATCCGGTGAAAACGTAAATGATTCGAATGGAAAAATTGAACAGGAGGTAATTCTTATTGATGAATCCGATGATTATTCAAACATTGAACAAGAATCATTATCATCATCATCATCATCATATGGTAAAAGTAAAAAAATGAAATTGAACAATAAACCTATTTACAAATTGGCTAAAAATAATACTGAATCTATTCCGGTTATAACATTAGATTCTGATTCTGATTAAAATGAATGAATTTTTTGTTTTTTTTTTTGAATTTCCATTAACAGTTATTACAAATATTCTTATAATAACCAAAATTATAATTTTTATTTTATAAAAATCCTGAAATTCTGAAATAAATTTTGAAATTCTACCCTTATTTTGTATTACTATTGGACCACTATTTTTATCTGAGTGTCTGTGTGTTATTATTACCCTATTACCCTATGCTTTGCTGCTGCTGCTTTTTTTACACGTTTGTTATGGAATTTGGGTTAAAATAGACCAAAAAAAAAGGTTAGCAAAGTTGTTTTCGATTTTCTTTACCGGTCTAGTTTTTTTTGTTAATTGGATTAATTGATATTAATGGTGATCATGTTTAATTTATTGCGTTTAGGAATGAAAATTTATGATGAGGTATGTGATTTTATTCAATCAATTTAACATAATTGATAATTGATAATTGTAATGTAACGTTATAACGAAAATATATATAGGCAATAAATCAAACTAATGAATCCGAATCAGTATATGAATTAACACAAACACCAATTGAACCATTGAATCCAATACCTGGTCCAAGTTCACATATTGAAATAAATCATCCTGTTAATGATAAATTTATATTGGAACTTTCATCAAGATCAGCATCATATGAATTAGGTTATATTGAATCACAACCACAATCACCATTAACATATCGTTGTATGAGTTTATCATCATTTTTTGAAATGAAACCGGTTATTATTAAAAATCCACAACCAATTTCAATGGATGATATTACTATTGAAAAGATTAAAAAATCTGTACAACCAATTAAACCATTTAAAGAAATTACATCGATTCTATCGAATCCACGAATGCTAAAACCAAAAGCACCAATGGCTATACAGCCAATTTATCCACGTAATTTAACACCTGAGCCAATTACTGAGCCAATTTTTGAACCAATTTTCGAACCAATTCTTGAACCGATACCTAAACCGTTACCTAAACCAAAATCTGAATCTAAAACGGAAAAAATAACAGAACAAAAACCAGTACAAACACCAGTAATTAAACCCAAAAATAAACCAATACCTAAACAAGAATTGAATGAATCATCATCATCATCATTAGAATGGCTTTCAGAACCAGAATCATCTGATTCGGATGATTTTGAAGTACGAGCCGAAGAAATTTCATTCAATTTTTTACAAAACCCTGATTCAGATTAATATTTTTTTTTTTGAAAGAATATTTTCAACAAACAAACAAACAAACAAAATTACCAAATAATTTCATTTAAAACATCGACAGATGACAGCAAAACATGTTTTTTTTCAAATGAAAAATTTTTCCCAATAAAAACCTTTTTTTAAACACCTTACCTTCTTTGATTGTGTGAAACAGACTGGGAGAAAGAGAGTTGCCCAAACTTGGCAAACTTAATTCCAAAAACAACAGAAAGCAAGAGAAACAGAAACGAAAAAACTTGTTCGCCAACGCAATTTAATAATATCCACCAATTGATTTATCCATCCATCCATCCATGGATATTACATTTTGATCATGAATTGGATAAAAAAACAAACCATAAAAGGTATGGTTGGAAAAACTGAAATCTTCATTTTTTTTTACGAAATTCAATCATTTTTCTGAACAAAGTTGTTGTTGTTGTTTGTTTCTGTCTTGAACTCTATTTTCTAGATTCTACAGAATTTTCGAGATTATGAATTATATTCTGTTTATAATTTTTGGCTTTTTAGCCATCAATATTGATTGTCAATCATCATCAACATCAACAACATTAACATCATTTCGTTTAAGAAGACGTTGTCCAACAATATTTCCAACATATACACAATTAATGAATTCGAATTCAATTGTATTGATTGGTATTGTTGAACAAATACGTCCATTAGATAATATTGATTATGATGAATCATCATTAAATAGACAACAACAACAACAACAATCAATACGACAACAACAACAGCAACAATCATCAAATTATATTGCAAATGTTCTGGTACGTCGTGTATTACATGGACAAAGATCATTACAACATCAACGTATACAGGTAACTGGATTTAATCCAATTGAATCAAAAACATCATCAGGTTCATCATGGTGTTATCCAAATACTCGACAAGGTGATTCATGGATATTTGTTCTACAACCAATAAATTATCCTGATTATTTTCGTTTAAATTCATCATTAATACGTATAACATTAACAAATATTGAACGTTTTGATTCAATTATTGCTGATCAACCATATGGTTTACGTCCGGATTTTCCTGAATGTAAGTTGTTTATTATTTGAATTTTTAATTCAAAAAAATCATTAACTAATCAATCAATCAATCAATCAATTAGTACCATGCGAAAGAAAATATTGTCCAAACAATGGTAATTGTATAAATGATCAATATAGTTCAGATGGTGGCCGTTGTGAATGTATACAACATTGTAATCAAATCAAATATCAACCAATTTGTGGTTCAGATGATGAAACATATAATAATGAATGTGAATTACGTTTACGTTCATGTCGTTCGAATAAAAATTTATTTGTAAAATCAATAAATTCCTGTTATTATTATCGTCCGAATTCAATAACATCATCATCATCTTCGTCATCATATCGAACAATTCCATCGATACAGAATCGATATCAAACACATCGAACAACAACAACAACAACAACAACATCGAATAATATTGAACCATTATCATCAGCAGCATCAAATGATCGTTATCATCATACAATCATGACAAATCAACGTTCATATTCATATTGATAATGTTTTTTTTTTGTTTTTTTGAGAAAAAAAAATTTCTTTATTTCAATTGTTTAATCAGAACAAAAAAATCAATACAAAATCAATACATATAAGATTTACTTCCTTAAAATATCTTTTATAATCTCTAATCTACTACTTTGAATGTTTTAAAAATTGAATGTTTTTAAATTTTGAAATAAAATTTGAATTATGTTTGTTTGTTTGCATAAGTTTGAATGTTTGAAAAAAGAATAGTTGGATTGTTTTTCAATCATCATCATCATTTTGTTCAGTTTTAATTTGAATATTTTCATTGTTAAGATCAGCCATTGGTTCAATGATGATGGTTGAATCATTATCCTTACCATCATTATCATCCATGGTATTTTCCAATTTAATCGCCATTGAATCATTATCATCCAAGGTATTTTCCAATTTAATAACTACCGGTTTAGTTGTACCACCATCTCGTTGTAATGATGTAGATGTCAATGTGAATGATGGTTCAAAAATAGAATTTGATTCATCAAAAAATGGTCCCAAATGACGTTGAAATCCTGGTCGTTCATCAAAATTAATTCGTATATGTTTTCGTACAAAAATAGGATTCAATACAAACATTAAACTAATTCTTCGATGATGACAATTATTAATCAATGATAATGGATCATCAAAATTATCAAAATCAATTTTACCAGCATATATTTTAACAATACTTGTATTGAATATTGTTTCAACTTGTTGTCGTAATATACCAACTTTTGTAAATGATGGAATTTTTCTCCAACCAATAACAAAATAGATATCATTTTTAAAATGAACAAAACCAAGTACCGATGTAAATGGTGAACGTAAATCATCTGGATTAATTTTATCCAATTTCAATTTAGCAACAAATTGTACTGAACTAATTCGTTTAAATTTAATCAATTGTTTGCCATTGTTATTCGATTTTTTTTGTATTGGACAATTTGGTTTTTTAAATATTACATTATCATTGGATTCGTTTTTTTCTTCATCATTTGAATCCGGAATTTCGATCGATATTTCTGGCAGTTCTTTAATAGTACCTTTAAATTTTTCAACAGTATTCCTTGAAGTTGAATCTGGTTTGAGTACAATTTTCGGTTTTCGAATTTTTAATGGACGAATAAACGATGACTGTGGACCAGGATTCATTATCGGATTTTGAAACAATTGACGATTAAACGATGGTGGTGGACCAGGAATCATTACCGGTGGTCGAATCGGAAAACGATTAAATGATGTTGGCGGTGGTGGTCCAGGAATCATTACCGGTGATCGAAAAAATGAACGATTGAACGGTGCCGATGGTCCTGGAATCATTACCGGTGGTCGAATAGGCAAACGATTGAATGGTGATGGCGGTGGTCCAGGAATCATAACCGGTGGTCGAAACAATTGTTGATGATTGAATGGTGATGGATTAAATGGACCATTATACAATGGTTGTTGCATTGATGAACATACCGGCATCTGAATAAATGGAGCATTGGAAGATTCTGATTTCAATTTACTACATTCAGGACATGGTTGATGCATATAATCATATCCAAATTGATCTGTTGAACATTCATAATTCTCGGAAGACTCATTTATATGAGGACTTGAATTTGATTGTTCATATATTGGTTTTCCAATAAAAATTTTTACTGATACTGGTTCTTTCTTTGTCTAATTGTTTGAAAATACATTACAACATCACCATCATCAAATTTTAGAAAAAAAAATTATTCATTTACTTACGGGATCAAACGCTTTCAAAGCTGAACGCATTAATTCATTCATTTTGATGATAATAATTATCGATGAAATATCGTCAATATCAAGAATAACGAGATCGCCAAATTACAAACAAAAACAAATACAAATGATAATGATAAAAAACGTGTGTGTGCTCATCGAATTTTTCGATTTTAATTCCTTTAACCAATCGATAGATGGTAGTGTTGACAACAGAAAATCCATTGTAATAGTGGTTCGATTATCATTTTGAAAAAAATTTCTGAAAATAATTCCCTGAAGAAATCGTCAGATGGCATTGAAAATCAAAAAAAATTTTTCCTAGCCTCCATTCAATCATTCAAATCGCATTATACATTGACATTTTTTGATTTGAAAATTTTAAATTTTAAATTTTTATTATTTTAATATTTTTAAAAAGAGAATTAAAATTAATTAATTAAACGTTTGAATTTTTTTTTCGGTAATTAAAATAAATGAAGAGGTTATTATTAATATTTTGGATTCGAATCAATATCATCCGATTGATTTTTTACCGTTTTTGATGCTTGTGGCCAAATATAAGTACCATAAAAACGATAACCATTTGCAACACAAAAATCATCCGCTTGTTTACAACCACGTGAACCATAATAATATGGTGCCGGTACGATTTTTTTCTCATCAATTTCATGTAATAATGGTGTAAATATACGCCATGCTTCAGATAATTCATCCGAACGAACAAAATGCATTTGTGAACCGGCAAATACATCCATTAATAATCGTTCATATGCATCAGGTAAACGTGAATCTTTATAACGATTTTGATAAGTTAAATCTAATTCAGTTTCAGATAAACGAAATGTCATTCCAGGTTCTTTGGTCATAAATTTAATATAAACAGCTTCATTTGGTTGTATACGTATAACTAATTCATTACGTGTACATTCACCATGAAATATATTACCCGGTACATCACGAAATTGTATACGTATTTCAGCTTTTCTTTCATTCAATGCTTTACCACAACGTAAAAAAAATGGTACACCATCCCAACGTTCATTATTAATTTGACATTTTGCTAATGCAAATGTTGCTGTTAATGAATCATTTGGTACTGTTGGATCATCACGATATGATAAACGTCCTTCACCATCTAATTTTGGATTACCAATATATTGTCCTAATACAATATCATCAACAGTTAATGTACGCATTGCACGTAAAACTTTAACTTTTTCATCACGTATATCTTCTGGATTTGTTGATACTGGTTTTTCCATTGCAACTAAACATAATATCTGTAATAAATGATTTTGCATTACATCACGAATAATACCAAAACGATCAAAATAACCACCACGTCCCATTGTACCAAATGGTTCTTTAAATGTAATCTGTATACTTGATATATGTTCATGATTCCATATTGGACTAAATATACGATTACCAAAACGTAATACCATTAAATTTTGTACCATTTCTTTACCTAAATAATGATCAATACGATATATTTCATCTTCATCATATAATGATTGTAAATGACGTGATAATTGTTGTGATGAATCATAATCATAACCGAATGGTTTTTCAATTATAATACGTTTCCATCCTCTTTTTTGTTTATTCAAAATTTATTCAATTTAACCGATAATAGATGGCGCCAAGTGTATCAAAAGATAAAGATAATTTGAAAAAAATGAAAATGAAAATGAAATGAGAAACAAGCAATAAAAATCCAAAATAACATACTTGGTATTCCAACAATGTTGTTTAATTAATTTAGTTGTTGATTGAAAAATATTTGGTGGTAATGCTAAATAGAATAAACGATTAGCATGTAAACCATTATCATTATCTTCTAATTCACAAACACGTTTCATTAATTTTAAAAATCCATTATCATCATCATATTTTCCTTGTACATAAAAATTATGTAATAAAAATTGTTGAAATAATTCACGTTCTTCTTCATCTCTTAATTTTATATGACGACCAATATGTTCATATAATTTTTGTACGGTCATTGATGAACGTGCATAACCAACTATGGCTGTTTTTAATGGTATTAAATCATCACGATATAGTGCCCTGTTGATTCAGCAAGAAAAAAAATTGTTCAAATCAAAAATCAAAATCAAAATCAAATTGCTTACCAAAGTGTTGGATAGATTTTTTTGGTTGCCAAATCACCTGATGCACCAAATACAACGAATGTATGATGATCACCAGTTTCATAATTTAATGATTCTTTTATTAATTTAATAATTTCTTGTGAACAATGATCATCATCAAGACAATTATTACTATTACTGTTATTATTATTATAATGATGATTATTATTATTATTTCCATTAATTAATGAATCATTTAATGATAAACAAGGATTATGATATTTACAGGTGCTAATTTTTTTAGCAACAGGTGATAATGTTGTTGTCGATGATGATGATGATGATGATGATCCATTAATAATTTGATTATCATTACCATTTTGGTTATTAATTATTTCGGCCATCTTTTCTGTTTGATGAGGAAAACTTTTGTTTTTTTCTTTTTCGTAAAATTAATCCAATTAATAACAAAAAACAACAATTTTTATTGACAGTTTTATTCAGAAAAAAATCAAATTAGTTATCAATAAAATCACTCGGATGATTTTTTTTTTATTAAATGGATCAAATTGATTGAAGATGTTTCGATCTTGTTTGCTATCTGGTCGATGATAAAGACAGGCACACATATATCACACACTTGATTGAATCAATCACGTTGTCTACAGACTGATTCGATTGATTTGCTTCGATTTTTTGATTGATTCGCTTCGATTTTTTGATTGATTTTGATGATGAATCAGAAATCTCATAACTTATAATTTTGCAAACAAAATTTTTTTTTAAAATTTATATTTATACATAACACCAACAACAACAACAACAACAACAACAGAAAAAAATGACAACGATGATGATGATCAATTAAAATCAATGATCAATGTCGTGTGATTAATTTTATTTTATTTTCTTTTCTTTTTTTTTTGCCGACTGAAATCAAATGAAATGAATGAATGAAATCAAACCACAAACAGGCTAGACATGACAAGTGAAACATTGAACAAGTGCGAGAGAGAGTAAAGGCAGAGCCAAAAAAAAACCACATGTATAGCATGCTACAATTACAAAGCTGATTTTTTTTTTTTTTTTTTTGTTGAAGAATGTCTTGTTGAACAAAATGGTGTGCTTGTTTGTGGTTATTTTCATCATCATCATCATTCGATATCGATTAAAATCGATTGTTGTTTGATGATGATGCTATGGATGATGCTGCCCATTTTTTTTTACATAATAACAATTTTTTTGCCTTTAAGGCTTTTCATTTTATTTTTATTGGCCATCATCAAATGAAACAAACAAAAAACATACGATTTTTTTTTTGCTTTTCGCATCATTGAAGTGAATGATGATGATGAAGATAACAGACACTTACTTAGTTACTTAGTTAGATCAATGACAATCCACACTTCATTCAATGATTGAAATATTTAAAGCATCCAAGATGTCCATGTTATCTATGTTTATCTTTGGATTTTTGAATTGCAAGAAAACAGAAAAAAACAAACCTTCAAAAAGTTTTTTGCCATCAAAAAAAAAATTCCCAAAAGATGCACTCTAAGAGTACGGCCAAGAGAGAGAGAGAGAGAGAGAGAGAGAGAGAATCACATGATGATGTCATAATATCTTTTTTTTAGATTCAAATTATTCTGACATTGATCTATTGAAATCTGAATTTGAATTTTTTTTTTCTGTGAAAAAGTCTATTTTTTTGATCATTACATAATACTATTGATAGATAGACAGACTGAAAAACGTCGGATGTATTAAAAAAACTAAAAAAAAAAAAGTTAATTCATTTGACCTTCAACCTTTTTCTCAATGAACACAGCGATGGATTGTTTGATTTCTCTCTTCCTTTCAATGTGTGTGGCCAACGACAAATATTTTTTTAAAACAAATTTTAAACGGAAATTTTTACAAAAAAAAATTGTTTTTTTTTTAATATGCAAATCAAGGTCAATGAAATTTTTTTTAATTTCCATTTTTTTTTTGCTTTGATTACGTAAATGACAAAATTTTTATTTTTAAATTAAAAAAAAAATATCGATGGATTGGTGGGTAAATGGTTAATTATATGATTTTTAAATCAGATCAAGGCATTGTTTTTTGTTGGTGTTGTTGGATGATGACGTCCTCTGGTTGTTTGATCATCACTGTGATGATCAGTTGATGATGCCATTGTTGTTGTTGATGATTGTTGTTCAGGGTTTGTAGTTTTATGATCAGAATTTGTTGATGATGTTGTCGATGTTGACATTGATGATGTGGTTGTATGACGTTTTCTTGTACCAGTATGATCTGGTGTTTCATAATGATGTGTTGTATGTTCAATTGGTGGTCCAATTGTATAATCACATGCCTGTATACTTTCATTAAATACTAAATCATTTGGACATTGAAAATGAAATGCACGGCCATTAACACATTCATAAAAATAATGTGAATTTTCTGGATCACGATAAAATATATCGTTTAAATCGGGACATTTAAATGCATGGATTGTGCCTAGTTTTTTTTTCGGTCGAGGGAAAGTAAATTTAACAAAATTCAGCAAATTTCCACAAAAATTGACCAAAATGACTTACCGACGATGAAGAAAATCAATGAAAATAATGTTAAAAATTTCATTTTGCTGTATGTTTTCTTGGTTTGTTTTGTTTGTTATCGTTGATGATGATGATGATACTCAAAATATATTTTCCCAAAATCAAATCAAATCAAATCAATCAATCAGTTTTTGAACTTGAAAATCCATTTTTGGGTTTTTATATACTTTTTTTCTTTCTCAACAACGAAAAGGAAAGATATTTTTTTTTCCTGATTACCTTTGATTAAATCCTTTCTTTTCTTTTTGCTTGTAAGATTGCAATAATTGTTTCTCAAAAAAAAAAACAAATCAAAAAAAGTAAAAAGAAACCAAAATACATTTGTCGTTATGGATAAACAAAAGATATCAAGATGAACTTGACATTAGCTTTTATTTTTGGATCATTTGATCATCGATGATTATCGATGAATCCGGATACAGATTGAGAGATTTTTTTTCTTTCTTTTCAAAAATATTTTCCTTTGCAACAACAACAACAACAAAATTACAATGATGTAATTGTATTTTGATTTCAGCCAAAAAAAAAATTGATTTTATTTGTTTTTGTCAATTATCGATTGATTGATTGATTAGATAGATAAACAGATTATAGTGTAATTTAATTAAAGATCAGGACAACAGAAAAAAAATTTAAAAAAAATTAAAACAATGTATATCGCCATCTATCGGGTTTAAAATTTAAAAAAAAAAATTGAAAATTTTTTTTTTGTTGTTGTTAATCTTGTTGTTTTTTTATTTTGATTTTCAAATCCAAACCATCATCAATATTTGTGGTTAATTTTTGATTAGAATCATTCCCGTTATCCGCATAATCATTGATTTTTGTATCATTTTGTACAATTTCGATTGATTGAAAATATGGTCGAAATTTATGACGATTATTTTGTTGATGATTATCATTGCTATTTTTTGTTGTCATTTGCATCGGTAATTGTAATGATGATGATTGTGGCCGTTGTTGTTGTTGTTGTTGATGATGATTAACAAAATAATCATTACGTTCATTTTCCAATGCTGTTATACGTTGTTTTAAACGTTTTTGTGTTGCTGAATATTCGGCAATTAAACGTGCAAAACGTAATTGTAATGAATCTAATTCTTTTTCTAAACGACGACATTTTAATTTAAAATCTTCTTCTTCAATTGCAGCACGTTTTAATATTTCTTCATCCAATAGATTATCTTTACGTAAAATTTGTTTACCTTTTTCAATTAACATATTACATGCTTCAGGATAATCTTCTAATACTTCCCAAAGATCATTTTTAGATAAACAAAATAAATCCGAATAACCAACTGAACGTACATTAGCTGTACGACGATTACCAGTTTTATTTCCTTTTATATTTAATATTGATAATTCACCAAATACTGAACCATCAGTTAATGTAGCGAATATAGTACGACCATCATCACCAACCACAGATAATTTACCTTTTTTAACAATATACATTTCCTTGCCAACATCACCTTTACGACAAATATAATCACCCGGTGAAAATACCTGTAATCGTAATTTTAATATTAATTCAACCAAAAGTCCTGGTTCACAATCTTGAAATAATTGTACACGTCTTAATGTTTGTAAATGTACATTAATAGCAATTTCAGCTTTTAATTTATCTGGTAATATTGCTGTTACTGAATCTTCATCTAATGATTGTTTATTTGTCCATAAATAATCAAACCATTTAATAACACGATTTTCTAAATCTTTTGATACATGACGAAATTTCATATATTGTTTAACTGAATCCATTTGTGATTGAAATTCAGCACGTGCTGCATTCATATTTGTTATCATTGAACCAACATTACCAACGATTGTTGCAAATATTAAAACACCGATTAAAAAATTTATAACAACAAACGTATATTCAAAATCTGTTTCAGGTATAGGTACTTCACCGATTGTTGTTAATGTTAATGTTGACCAATAAAAACAATAAATATATTGATGTCTTAATGTATCGGTTTCATTTGTACCATCAGCTGCAATTAAACGACGATTATAAACCCAACGATCCGTATCAAAACCAATAACATATGATATTGCAAAATAAATACATGCATTCCAATGTATTAATATTAAAATATAGAATATTAATTTTCCAATACGAAATGCATGTGGAAAATTTGTTCGTGTTTCAGTACGTTCAAAACATTCAGTGAGACGATAAAAACGAAATAAACGATTTATACGTACAATAACTGCACATGGATAAAATCTTTCCGGTTCACAATATGTACCAGTCATTATAAATATTAAATCCGTTGGTAATAATGATATTATATCCAATTTAAAACGAAAACTTTTAATATAATTTACAAATAATTTATTTAAATCACGTACTAATAAACCTTGTTCTAAATAACCAGTACGTGAACTTAAAAACATATCGATTAAATAAACTAAATCGATTAAATAATCAATAATAATCCATATTGTAAGAAAATTATTTTGCATTTGCCAAAATACTGAACGTCCAATAATTGTAATTACATTATAAATAACTGAAATGCTGTGCGTTTTGAAAAAAAAAATTGTTAAAATTTATAATCAAAAAACAAAACAAAACATACCACATAATGAATAGCCATTGATAGTAGGTTTCTGTTGCAAAAAATTGGAAAATTTCAAAATTTAAAAAATTGAAAAATTCAAATCCAAAATACATACGACTACCCGGATCGATTACATAATGTAATGGTTGTCGTCGTCGTTGTCTTGATCGTTGACGATTTTGTTTCATTTTATCACCATTATCACTGTTGTTGTTGTTGTTGTTCGGATTATCATCATTATTATTATCATTATTATTAGTTTTATCAAATGATACATTAATCATTGTATGATTATCATCATCATTTAAATTTGTATGTGGCATAGCAAATTTTTCTAAAAATGAATCATGACTACCCATTATATTATTATTACCATTACCATTATTATTATTATTATTATTATTATTATTTTTGGCCCAATGTTTGATTATCTAGATAAATTTATAAATTACAAAATTACAATTACAAAATTAATGATTTTTCATTTTTTTCAATTATTTACCTGAAAAGCATTTGTAATTTTAGGTATGCTTAGCCAATAATCTTTGGTTGTTGCTGTTGATGTTGATGATGTTTGTTTTGTTAATAATTCTGATTCTGGTTCTGGTTCTGATTTTGATTGAATAATCGATGATGATGATGATGTTGATAATAATAATTTTGATGATTTTGTTGTTGTTGTTGCCGCTGTTGTTGTTGTTGTCATCGCTGTTGTTGTTGTTGTTGTTGTTGATGATAATTGACAATTATAATCATTATCATTTGGTGATGGTGAAGTTATTTCCATTGTTGTTGTTGTCCATATTGTTGGTTGTCGTTTTAAAATTGAAATTTTTTGCTGCTGTTGTTGTTGTTGTTGTTGTGAAATATCTAAACAAGAATCAGTACATTTTATTAAATCATTTTCAATTGAAATATTTCTAATTGAACCATTCATTTGTTGTTGTTGTTGTTTAGATTGTTGTTTATTATTATTATCTTGAATCGGTGCAACCATATTCATCATTGTCATATTACGATATAATAATGATTGATTTGACATACGTCGATTATTTGTTGTTGTTGTTGTTGTCATTGATCTACGTTGTTGTTGTTGTTGTTGTTGATTAATATTATGATTATAATGTTGATGAGGATTTACATTGGTCATTTTATTATTATTATTATTATTATTATTATTATTTATTAATAATGGTCCAGAAACAATTTGATCGATTGAATAAAGACAATAATTATTATTATGATTATTATAATGATGATTATGATTAAAACCTGACCAACTATTTATACGTAAACGTTGTTGGTCATCATCATCATCATCATAATAATCATCATCGTTTGGATTATCAAATAATAATTGTTGTTGCGGTTGTTGTTGTTTGGATCGAAATAGTCGTTTTACTTTATTATTTATACTGAAATTATATTCATCATCATCATCATTTGAATAATTAACATCCTTATCAGATTGTCTACGTTTTTGTTGTTGTTGTTGTTGCCGTTGATAATTATGTTTTGGAACTTGTAAAAAATGACAAGAATTTCTTTTATTATTATTATTATTATTATTATTATTGATTAATGATTGAAGTAATTTTGGTTTTGTTAATTCAATAATCGATGGTGGTGATGATGATAATATTGGTGTCGATGTTGATGGTGATAATGTTGATAAAATATTTGTTTGATCTAAAAATATTGTTGGTGATGATGTTGTTGTTGTTGCTCGATGTGGATCTGAAAAATTATTGGACGGAAAAACGGAAAAAAAGATTTTTGTAAAAAATTTTAAAAGTTTTTTTGTGTAAAATTTTTTTTAAAATTAAATTAAAAAATTTTGTAAATCTTTGAACCTGAATCATTATTATTATTAGCATTATCTTGATTTAGTCCATCAATCAGATTTTGATTATCATCATTATCATTATTATTGATTGTAATACAATGATAATCATCATCATCATCATTATTATCAATAAAATGTATTGATTTTTTTCGTTTATTATTATTATTCATCGATATCATGATGTCATTATTTTTTTAATTTACAAAAAAATCAAAATTTTAATTAAAAAAACAACAATTTTATGCGCAAAATTCACAACAGAAAAAACCGATTAAAAGCATCATCCATTTTAAGCATCTATTCACAACCACCACTAAATAGATCTGGTCTATTTTTTTTTCTTTATTTGAACATTTTCTCTTGTTTGTTTGTTTGAACAATTGTTATATAATCGGCTTGTTGACGGATATGTCAATCATTGGTTAAAATAATTGACAAACAACAGCGATAACTGGGTGAATCAACAACAACAACAACAAAAATGATGTTTCAAGTGACAAAAAACCTAGAGTGTTGTGTGTGTGTGTTAAACATAACAACAACAAACAGCAGAATCCCATAATACACAGAAAAATGAAACAGAATTTCTGTTCTTTTTTTGGTGGATGTTTATCATCATCATCATTATCATTATCGTTTTGTTGTTGTCTTTTCGATTGATTTTTGGGGTTTTTTTCGTTGTTGTTCAACAAAGCAAGATAACAAACGAAAAAGTAAAGATGCCAATAAATAAAGATGGATGCGCATCTTTTTGTTTTGCACAAAATAAAAACAATCATCATGTTTGTGTGTGTGGACCACGTTTTCAAACATTGTTGTTGTTGTTGTTGATTTTATTGACAACAACAACAACAACAACAATTCTATAAACATCATTATCGATGATTATGATGATGATAAATTATTATTTCCTCTCCCCTCTCCCACCAAAATATACAAGCAAATGACAAGTACACATCATATATTTAATCAAGAAAAAAAAATACTCGAATTTCTTTGGTAATCAATAATGAACAGAATATTTTCGCTTTTTCGGTTATTGTTGTTATTGTTGTTATTCAATTGATATTCATAAATTCATAATGTGATTAATATGAAAATGATAATGATAATGATATCACACACACAAGCAGACACCAATGAAAGAAGAAAATGTCATTACCAATTGATCAATCGATCAATTGATTATTGATTATTATTATCAGTTTTTTTTCGCATTCGTTTGGCCAGTTTTTATTTCTTTGGGTTTTTTGGTTTGCGTGTTTGCAAATGTGTCAAACTTTGTGTCCAATTCAATTCAATATGATTGACCAAATAAATAAGACAGCCAAAGAAATTTTCTCTCTCTCTCTCTCTCTCTTACTTCGAATCTTAATTTTCTTTTTCTGTTTTTTTTGATTTTGTAAATATTATTATCGTAATTTAATGATGTTCAAAGTCACAGGGGGTGGTTATTCAAGCCACACACACACACACACACATAACACATTCACTTCTTATCGACAACGATGGATGGATATTTCCAGATCGATAATTTAATTTTCAATTAATAATAATAATAATAATGATGACCAGTAAATAAAAATGTCATCATCAACATCAACATCATCATGTGATCAAAATTTTGGAATTAAATTAAACTTGATCGACTTGCAAAATTGGATTATCCCAAAGTTCCGAATACTTTTCTATGTTTGTGTGTTCCAATGATAATGATGATGATGATTAAAAATGACAGAAATTTGGAAGAATTTTCGGTTTAGCAAACGTTTTGGTTTAAATGAATTTTTCATGATGGGGCGAAATAATGATGGGGAAGCAACCTTGGAAGAAAAAAACTTACCAGAATTTTTTTTTTTATTTATGAAAGAAGAATTGATTAACCAGTCAATCAATCAATCAATCAATCAATCAATGTGTAACTTGGATCAAAGAATCAAACAGAAAACTTAAATTGAAACAAATTAATCGTGGATTTATTTTGTTGCTGGAATGATTGAATGCAATGCAACT